AATGCGACAATCATATGACCGCTTAAAAAGTTATCTGGACAAAAATTGGCATTTGTACAAATATGTACAGAAAAATTGCTGTACACATTTATACATTTTGCCACATCGTGTGATTTCAGCTTAAGAAGCGACAACTCGCTAAAGTCGGCGAGTGAGGTCTGAAAGGTTGAGATGAGAAGTTCGCGTCCGTTTTAACATCCATTTTCGTAAATGAATTCGCCGCACATTTGGTTTCGCGGCGATAAAGAACGTTGAGCAAAAGTGATCGATGATAGAAATAATAAAACAAAATGAAAAAAAAACATGGCTGCAGCTCTTTTTGTTTATTTGCAGACGGCATTAACCAATTTGCATGCGCATGTGCATAGATTTACTTTATTTTATAATTTTATGCAAATATAAGTAAATTAAACACATGCGCTAGGCAAACCTTTATAAACTTCCTCTTTAGTATGGAAGTTGTAAACTTATAATTTATGGATTAAATTACCCTTTTTATATCAACCAAATGTACATTTATAATCAATAAATAATTTACATCAATTTGTACAAATGTACTCTTGCGATTTTCCTCCTAACATATGTATATTTCTACATCCGTGCAAATATACGTACATATGTACATATCCACATATGCCACTAAAATACAACAATAACAAATTCATTCATAAACGCATGCGCATATTCTTCAAGGTCAAACTCATTCATTCATAAATTCAATGACCATACATCTCCCCGCAAACTCATCGCCAACAAGCGCAACTTCTGCGCGAGGACCACAAAAATTCTAAAATGTAAAATTGAAGAAATCACAGCCAGTCAAATGAAAAGTTGCAACTCAGCAGTAAAATCTGAGGACGTTTGCAAAAATAACTTATCTCGAGCTTAGCCATTGTTTCTGTAAACTTCTAAACCGCAGTGCTCCTTCCAACTTTTAAATTATTAGTTAGTGGTTTAAGATTTTATTTTAATAAAAAACAAAATAAACATAATTTTTTTGCACAAATGACCCATGATATTTTGATGTAAACTCAAAACTTGTGAAATCACATACAACAAATGTAATTTGGCAACATGGTTGCCTTCACCAGCTTCGGTCATCAAATTTAAAATTTTTGTAAACCGATCGCTTACGATCTGTTTACAGTTGACTCTAGATACTACGAGAAACATGTATACGAATTCAAAAAATTTAATTATTTTGCATTATTGATAATTGCAAAGCGCTGAAGTATGTATAAGTGGGAGTAGACATACAGACCTATTCTGCGTTGGTAAAACAAATATTGTTTACTATCATGAAAAGATTCAAACACAAAATCGTACATTAACCTATTCTGCGTTGGTAATCACATTTTTTTAACGGATAATAAAGCTCTTTTTTTAAACCCTTTTCGCATTCTGCGCACTTTTGTAACCAGTAAAATTTGTTACCATCTCATAAGCAGGTACAAAGTATTGCCCCATGAAATATACAACAACAGAATTTATACAAAACTTCATACCTGGAATGCTGAATAAATTAAAACGTTACCACGGTACCTATAATTGCGGTTACAAGAAGTGGTAACAATGTTTGGTAACAAAATTTGCTGGTTACAAAATTTCCGGTAACAAGCAGAATATTGCTACAAGATATTCAAGTTAGGAGTAGCCTACTGTAAACGTACATATGTATGCGCGTAAATACGTCAGGACGCGGCATTTCACAAGAATTTAAGAATTTGTCAAAATAAAGAAGGCGGAGGACGTGGGAGAGACGGAGACAACTTATGTTTCACATTTTTTCACATTTACGCGTTTGTTTTGGCGGAGGATGTGAGAAAGACGGAGACAACTTATGTTTCACATTTATGTGTTTATTTTTTGCATGCATATGAACAAAAAATTGGAAAACATTTATTCTTGCCCGATAATAACAAAATGTATGCATACTCATGTATAAATGCATAGATTTAATTTGAACTTATGCCATCCTTATATAACAAACATTAGTCTTGCTAACAAAGCCGCCATATACACACTTTATCCACCAAATCGCCCGACACATAACTTTTTTTGCACACTTTAGATATGTAAATTTCCAGATGAAAACAAAACATAGGTACACTCATATATAAATGCATAGCTTTCTTATTAAACTAATGCATTTTTATATAAAAGTACACTGGTTTCGTTTAAAATAATGATCACATTTATCCACAGACGCCAACAATCGGCACTTGCTGACAAACACTTTGCACTTACAAACACTTTTTATTATTAATATGGACTCTTTCACATATAAGCACCACAGTATTTTACACATTCACTGAATATTATATATTTTACACCTTCATTTATTTATTTTCTAAATTAAAATACACTTTTTAATCACTTCTGCAAAATAATCACTGGCATTCACATTTGCCGCTTTTCTTCTGTTTTGTTTGCTTTTTCCGCATTCGAGGCGAAAATCAAAAATCTGCCGCGGACAGAGTCAAAAGGGAGACGAACTCCTCATCTAAACCTTTCAGATACGGTCAAAATCGTCGCGGCACATTTTCAAAGTAACGAGTTGTCGCTTCTTATACATTTACGTTCTTTGCAAAAACGAAAAACTCATATAAAATGACGCACAGGAAATGGAAAACAAATTTTCTTCTATCAAAATTTCTTAAAAACATGTTCACATCACAGCATAAATTATTATTTTTCGATCAAATTACTTCATATAAGCCACAGTATACAGCATGATACAAACATCTTTTTGTATCATAGTATACAGTAAACCAGCCATTGACAATACCCACCAAACAATTTGTGTTGCCGGCAATAAGAAAACGTGTCGCCCTCGGAAAAAAATTTATTGCCGGTAACATTGCCATCGAATCGATTTCCTATTACCGGTCGCTCTAAAACGTCCGCCGAAGGCAACACGCCTGGGCGAGTCGTTTTCTTATTACCTGAATGAGTCCTTTTCTTATCGCTTCAGGCGATATTTGGAATAATTTTATTATTTTTAATACTTCCCAGCAAACATTTGGAGTCATAAATGAGTCTTTAAGGAGTCCTATTTCGGAGCCATTACGCTCATAATGAGCTCATTTAAGAGTCCGATATGAGGGTGTTTCCCTTTCTCCGAAGGTCGACTTATATGAGCTTAAATTCATACATCAAATGAGCCTCAATATGAGTCATATTGGACTCTTATTGGTCTAATATACGGCTCATTTTGGACTCTTTTAAAACAATTATTGGCCTCATATATAAATCATTTCAGACTCTTTTCGAGCCTCTAACCAGCCTCATAAATTACTAAATTCGGACTCTTATTTTAGGTTGTTCTTTGAGTCTTGTTGAACGCACTATATGTGCAAAAGCATTCAGCAAAAAATCCTTTCAAATAACATGCATACATACTTACGTGCATATACACATTCCACCATGCATGCAATAGAAGCAGCTGCAGCTAAATTTTGTTCATTTATTGTTTTCTAATTATTTTCAATTTCTGTATAAACAAGTTTGGATATAAATTTCAAATCTTTATTGTTTTTATTTGGCACAAGGTGCTGGCTCATAACTTGGATCATATATGAGTCCTAAAAGATTCATATAAGAGTAAAAAAAAAATTGTTTTTGAAACTCATATTTCTTACCTACCTAGGACTCCCTTCGGACTTATATATTCTGAACGCTCAGAATATGTTTGCGGGGTTCATTTATTTTTTTTGTATACCAAATCGCAACTTACAATCGGAAATAATTAATTTTCTCGCTGTAAGGCTTCCTATTTCTTCAATCTTGTCCTTGGGCATAATTTAGATGCTTTTGGCCAATACTATTGACGCCATATTCATAAGATTCGGAATTTTTGAGAACTTTTTTATTCCAAAATGACATTAACGGAGTGATGTTGCCGATTTGTCACCACAGCAATAAATCGGTGAGTCGCCAATTTGTTGCCATTGACGATTGTTGCCTATTTCTCATATTTTGCATGGTGGGTATGCTTATTTGAAAATTAATACATGAAATATTGTGCATGTATAGGATTCTTTTGTCATTAACCCATAGGCAATGACTGGTGCAAAAGTACCCACAAATGTTTGTTGATATATTTGAAATGTAAATTTTGACAGCGAAATTCGTAAAAAAAAAATAATAAAACAAAAATATTGTTGATTACTACATGGGAGGTGGTCGTGGTTATTGACAGGTTTCGCAAAAATTTAATACTAACCTAAATTATACCAAAGGCAATTTCGGCACCGACTTTCGTTAAAATATCTACATAAATTTTGTTCGAGTTAGCGTGTTTACAAACAGACGCGACTGAACCAATTCATTTCGTCATTCTGAATATTTTGATAAATATGTATGTAAGAATATGTATATATACATTTTATACGGTTGAAAAAAAACGTCGCTAATCTGCATAAACCTTTTTTATTTGCATTAACTCATGCAGTATCCTTTTCAAATGAGAATAAGCGGCAGAAAAAGTGCATACGTCGATATATAACTTTGTGTACATATTTCATTAAAACTTTGGAGGTCTCCACTATAAGAGTTGTATATTTGAAAATTAGAGAGTTCTACCTTTAAGTTAAGTAATACTTGTTTTACCCCCTAATTTATGGGACCATTTTCCAAAGTCTGCCCACCGTTATTCACTCAAAGTTGTATTCGGAACACGATATGACTTATGTAGGCACTGCATCCGGTTATAATCGCTTACGCTGCAAGCCTGATTTGCTTGGAATTTTGTTTTTCTCGTTGTTTTATTTTATGTGACTTGAAAATATTTTTCACTATAAGAAAATATTG